AGTCGCAGCGCTGGAAGGAGGAGAGAGGTGAGGATGACTTCCCTCCTCCTCCTCCTCCTCCTCCTTCTTCTTCTTCTTCCTCCCCACCATTTTTTGGGTTGCCTCTCAGGTTGACTTTAAAATTTGTTACTGCGCGACAGGAGTCACGTCGAAGAGTAAGTATCCAATGAGCAGCCGGCGTCTGCGGAGGATCCCGTTGGAGAGCAGCCCGTCTGTGGTCCATGGCTGTTGTCTATTAAATATGGATGCCCTGGAACCGTTCTATTTTTACCACCAGCTCTGGATCGGCGCTGGCAGTAGAAGATCACAGTGTGACAAGGGATTGGAGGGGGCGCCGTGGGGAAGAGTTGGGGGGGTGGCACTGTACGTACAGTATGTCCTGTTTCTATAGCAACTGTTGGCCCGGGGCTTGATTTTTTTCTTCTTCTTGTAATAACTGTCTAAACTTCCCTCAGACGAGTCAGCGGGTGGAGGCTGACGGAGGTTTGAACAAAGGTTTTCTACGTCAGCGTCCAGAGAGAGTTTGGAGACGAAAACAAGAATTCAGTGTCACAGGAGAAGACGGCCGCCATGTTGGATCCTACAGCAGTTACAGCTAATGACGAAGGGTAGTCATAAAGTTTGGATCCTACAGCAGTTACAGCTAATGTTGATAGTTATAAAACACTGTACGAAGGGTAGTCATAAAGCTGGAGACGAAAACAAGAATTCAGTGTCACAGGAGAAGACGGCCGCCATGTTGGATCCTACAGCAGTTACAGCTAATGACGAAGGGTAGTCATAAAGTTTTAAGACAGACGGAAACTTTGGCGTAGCTTATCAAAAAAGCATAACCAGTTTAAGGGAGTTGAACTTCTTAGGTTTGCTGTGAGAAATTATCATATTTCACTTGGTCTGAAAACTATTATTTATTTATTGCATATAATGTTTCTTTGCTCGTCAAAGCATGAAATTCAGAACAATCAAATCCTCTTCTGCTAGGTGGCAGCACTAAAAAAAAAAAAAAGATTTTTGTGAGTGTCTTTCTTCAATTCCTGCCAGTATATCAGCGTTGTCTTCAACTAAACAGGCTGAGATTTTAGTCAATTATGAGGTCATTTAAACCAGAAGATTATTGTATTTTTTTTTACGTATACCTTTAGTGAGATTTTAGTTTGGTGGCGTTCCGTGGGGTTTTTCCTGTCTAGTGAGATTTTAGTTTGGTGGCGTTCCTGATGTATATTTATATTTGTGCTGTGGCTCAAAAATGGTTTGGAAACACTGGTGTAGTGGAGGCAGCAGATTGTCAGGGAGAGTTTTGGTTTGGTTTGGATTCGTCTCGTGGTCATTTCTTCTCGACCTTCTCCACAGTTCTGAGGTGAAGTACGCCTGCCCGACAGACGCGGAACGGAATACCTTTGTGTCGAGAAGAAAGGGAAAAAAATTGAAAGTCATCACTTGACAAACCATATGTACAGTGAGCGACGGAAGCGATACGAGGATGAAAGCGTCTCTTATCCACGTCCTTCAGGGAGTTTTGAGTGTTTTTTAATTAGCATTATTCCCACTGCAGTTTTTCCCCCACTTTGATTTGAGGATTGTGAAATAAACAAACACACAGACACACACACATAGGACGTGTGTGTGTGTGTGTGTGTGTGTACAAGTTACTGTCATCGTCTGAGGATAATTGAAATGTGTGGCTGGCATGTTTCCTGTGCGTCTCTTGGAGCGTGGGCTAATTAGGCCTCCATTGCCAGGAGAACAGTCCTCATACAGAGCCCACATCTTGATGGCTTTGATCCGCGCACACGCCAGCTGTTGCACCGGTTCAACCACCCGGCTACGTCAGAGATGCACCTCGATATTCCTTACCTCCTCTTTGAAAAGAGTAAAATCTCCCTCCACGCTGCAGTGGCATAAACGCTCACACTCAGAGGAAATAAAAGCTAAAATTAAACCGTCGCCTTCGTCCTTTGGCAGCAGATTTGTTTCGTATTTAGGCTCAAAAAACGCTTCGTTTCCCACGAGCCTGATTAAAACACCCGTCTCTGGGAATGACGCGAAACCTTCGGGCACATTTAGTCCCAGTCTTGGAGAACAGGTTCTGCCGTCCTTGAAAGTCCTGGAGCTTTGTAGATTTTCATGTTTAATTGAAACTCCGCAGCTCTGTGACCCCGGACTGACGAGCGTTTGGATGAATCATTCAAAACCCGCAGGATGTTGTGAGAAACAAAGACGCCCAGATCCCTTTTGAAACCATATTCCACCCTTTTTTTGTTTTACGGTGCTCAGTGTTCACTGTCAGCAGGTAGAAGTCGTGGATCTCATTTTCTCTTTTTGTTTTTCTTCCGCTCAGCTCTGCTCTACGCCACCATCTTCGGTAACGTGACCACCATCTTCCAGCAGATGTACGCCAACACCAACCGTTACCATGAGATGCTCAACAGCGTGCGAGACTTCCTCAAACTGTACCAGGTGCCTAAAGGCCTGAGTGAACGGGTGATGGACTACATCGCCTCCACCTGGTCCATGTCACGGGGCATCGACACCGAGAAGGTGAGTCGTCTCTAATGGATGATGATCAATAAAGTTCAGGGATTTTTTTTTTTGTTACTTTTTTATTTATAAATCTTGTTTTGTCATAAATTCAGATTCACATTTATATTGTATCTGGTGTTTTATATATATATATGGAGTTGTCTGTTGACTGAGTCATGACCGTCTATCATTAACTCAGTCTGGCTTCAGTCGACACTGAAGAGGCCAAAAATAAAAAAATATTCCTCTCTGACATTTAGCATCAAAAATATATTCTATTCTATGAAGGCAGAGCCCTGCAGAGAAGCTCAGTGGGNNAGGGTAGCAGCTGACATCAGATCTGGGATCATTGTCCATCTGACTTTTAAGGACAGTTTTGTTGAGATTTTGCACAGCTTGAAACTTTACTTTAATGTCTCTGTCCCTGGACCTGGACACGCCCCCTATTTTGGTAGCAACTGCATCCTAAGACATGGACCAGGACATCGCATGGATAATTTAAATATACTGTAGGTGTTTTTTGTAATAAAAAAAATAAGAAAAGGTTAAAAAAAAAGATAATTTGTGCTACTACACATGAAAGGAGATAATTAAAAAAAGATAATTTGTGCTACTACACATCAAAGAAGATACTTTGTACTTACTAAGTATTTAATTAGAGAGTATAGAGTACAGTTTGGAGTAGATTTCAGAGTAGATTTTTTTTGGACATCTACGTCTAGGATCAGTGAGGCTCATCAAACAAAACAAGTTCCGGATGTTTTTCATGTGGATTTCGGTTTGAAGAGCCAATTATGATGCAGCGTAATTAAACCATGTTTGGTCGTAGTTTGTGCCAAGATGACGCACACGCAAATACTTCCTTAAAAACCAGTTGTCACCTTTGTGATAAAAGCCCTGCAGACGGTCTGGTCACGACCTCCTCAAAGGGGAAAATAAAAAAGGGAATCTTGACTCCATCCTTGGACCCACTCCTCTGTCCGTCCCTCTCCTGTCCTCTGTCTCCAGGTGCTGCAGATTTGTCCAAAGGACATGAGGGCGGACATCTGCGTCCATCTCAACCGGAAGGTTTTCAAAGAGCACCCAGCTTTCCGTCTGGCCAGCGACGGCTGCCTCCGAGCTCTGGCCATGGAGTTCCAGGCCATCCACTGCGCCCCCGGTGACCTGATCTACCACGCTGGAGAGAGCGTGGACAGCCTGTGTTTCGTGGTGTCGGGGTCACTGGAGGTCATCCAGGATGACGAGGTGGTGGCTATTTTGGGTAAGTGGTGAAATAATAATCATTTTTTTAAAAATGACATGGTGAGAATCAGGTGTTTCAGTGATGTTCAGTGTTAAAAATTGAAATAGAACTTTATTAAATCTGTAAATATTGTGATGCTAAAATATTTTTTTATTAAATTTAAAAGAATAACTCTGAAAAACATAATAATAGAATCAGAAATGACATGATAACCAAGCAAGTTTAAACTTGAAAAATTCCATTTTTTTTAAATAAATAACATTTACCAACATAAATAAATACAAAATAAATACATACATGTAGTTTATGGAGGAATAAACTTTTTCTTCCAACTTTTAGCTCGTGTATCTCTACACTCAGCTGCAGTTACTTGGCTCGACCTGCAGTGGTTCCCAAACACTATTATCTGACATGTCGTGGTCACATCCTTTTGATGTCACACATCAAAGTTGCCGGTGCTACAGCAGCCTGGTTGGTCAGTTTTCATTGGTCGGTTTCAGACATTAGCGCTGACTTTAACGTAGTTCAAATGCTAATGCTATGATTTTTCTTCAAATGCTAACGCTAATGCTGTGATTGTTTTTTTTTCAAATGCTAACGCTAATGCTGTGATTTTTTTTTTTAATGTTTCTGGAGAAGTTTCACAGTTTTCCTGATAAACTTTATTTTTTCAATTTAAATTTTTAAAAACATTGTGACACAGTTAAAGAAATCCAGAACCTTCTTTGACTTAGAGTTTATTTTGCTCAGGTTTTTTCTGATAAATAATTAACGCGCTTCGCTTTCCATTAAAATGCCGTCGGTTTCAGTCGAGGATTTCTCTTCCTGCAGTGTCTTGTTGATTTAATCATGAAGTTGGAACTCCTTATTGATGTGTGAGCAGCATCTGTGTGTGACTGCGGTGAAAACTGATCCCAGCGTCAGGATCACTTTCTGCTGAGCCTTTTTTTTTTTTTTTTTTTTACAAGACTTTGTCGCAGACACTGAATCCTCAGGGTAAAACCTATTGAATTCTGTCTGGAGGTTTTCAAACCACAACTTCACACAAAAAAAAATTAAATCTACTCCTGAAGTATTAGAAGGTTCAAGACTGTACATCACTTTTTTATTACTTTTGTTTTCGCAACTTTATGCCTGTTTTTTGCCCATTATTTTATTTATTTTTTCTTTCTGAGGGGTTCAAATACCTGCCCCTCCAGCAGGTGGCGCCCTAAGCTGCAGCTCATGTGGCCTTTGCAGAGACCAGGGTCTCCCTGTATGGGTTTGTTGTCGCAGGACAACATTCTGCTGAGCCTTTTTGCTAACACTGAACAGAAAGTGAGCAGAGCTTTACAACCGATGGAACGTTTGAACTGAAAACACTGCCTCCAGTGGACACATTGTCAGTACAACTGTGTAAAAGGGATTATCATCTCAAACATCAGACGTTGTGTTGTTGTTCCAGGTTCTACTGCGATCTTTTCCGCTCCTGGTCTTCGTTCTTTCGTTCCCACGTCCAGATTAAATTATCTCCACCAATCACAGCCATTGCCTCCATTGTCTCACTGATCTTTTTGCCCCCTGGTGGCTGTTTTTCCCAAGAGTGGTTCCGTATTAAAAAGCTGATTTTTTTTTTTTTTAATTTATCATATCATTGATTTCAGTAAATAATTAATGGACAGGTCAAACGGTGACAACCATCGGGGGGATTGCTGGTCAATATTCTGCTCCTGGTTCCTCCTGGCAACAATTAGTCCACTGTCAGCTGACAACTATTGATCCACGATGTGGACCTAAAGATGCCGGCGTGATTAACAGGTCGTTAAGAGGTGGTAGAGATAGTAAATTAACCAGTGCATTATTCCACCATCACCATGTTGTTCTGAAAAGGATGTTGAGTTAGATTTATGCTAAAAATACCAGAGAATGAAATGGTCCTGCAGGAATAACGCTAACGCTACCAAGAAGCAACAAAACATTAGCCAAAGAAACCTGAAGAGTTGTCAAAGAATATCGCTAAAAGCTAATAGATAACTTTGCCCTGGACTACCGTGAAAAACGATTATAAGAAAAACCATTTCAGCTGCTCAAAACCTCGTCACTGTACGCTCCACGTTTGGCCCCAGGGCCAGACGTTGGACACATCTGCTCATTAGCCCTCCTGAGCCGTGTCTTTTGTCTTTCTGTTTCAGGTAAAGGTGACGTTTTCGGAGACGTCTTCTGGAAGGAAGTGACCCTGGCTCAGGCCTGCGCCAACGTCCGAGCTCTGACCTACTGCGACCTCCACGTCATTAAACGCGACGCCCTGCAGAAGGTGCTGGAGTTCTACACGGCGTTCTCCAACCACTTCTCCAGGAACCTGCTGCTCACCTACAACCTGCGGAAGAGGGTGAGCCACACTTTCAGCTAAACATCGGTTCTGAATGTCATCGTTAGCGTCAGGGTCAGGGTCAGGGTCAGGGTCAGGGTCAGGTATTCTGAACCTTTTCTGAGGAGTTCCTCAGAAAACGTCTGTGTGAAAACAATCATCGTAACAACTTTGTCTCAGGAACCCGTCGTCATCGTTGATAAGAACCTCAGTCTGGGTTCCTGTTCTCTTGTTGGTTGGATCTTTTTCTTTTCTTACACATCTGACATGATTGATTTGTATCATAATTATCATAACTTTCTTACACATCTGACATGATTGATTTTTATCATAATAATTATCATAATAGTTTTATTTTAGAGAAATCCATTTCAAAACAAATCTGTCAAAAAACTAACAAAACACTAAAAACCTAAAGAAATCCACTTGTTTATATCTCGATTCAAACTGTAACATCGTCAGATAATTGTGGTAAAAGCTAAAGTTCAGCATATGGAGGAATTGCAGTAGGTAATACTGTAAATGTCAAACCTTAAAATTAGTTTTTAAACTAATGGCTAAAGGTCAGACCGTTCTGACCAAATCTGTTCCAAATATTCAAATTATTACTACTACAGGACAGGGTTAAATCAGTGGATGTAAATGTAAAAATAGGTGTAGTATAGTATTATTGTGTATACAGTACTGTAGGTACAGGTATTAGCCAACAAATAAATCCCCAGAATGGCAGCAGCAGCAGCAGCAGCAGCAGCAGCAGCAGCAGCAGCAGCAGCAGCAGCTCATGCATGAATACCAACAGCCCATCTCGCTCCGTACGGTTGCATTAAACAGCCACCGTATATAAAGTCCCCTGTCACTTTACCCCCTCCATTCAAAAGTAACTGCTGCAATGTAGCTACCAATCATTAGCTCATTCATCATCAGCTAACGCTGCCCTGGACAAAAGCAGCAGCGGCAGCAGCAGCAGCAGCAGCAGCAGCAGTCGTCAGATTGAATTGCCTACATGTGGAGAGATGAAATTCATCAACTGCTCTGAACCCCAGCAGCCACCAGGGGCTCGTACTTTTCTGAATGTTACACAACAGGGACGTTCAGAGCCAGGGCTCAGTAATGCACCGCCTTCACAAATGAAGCTGGAGAGAAAAATATGGATCCGCTCTGAGTGAGAGCAGCTCAATGTGTCGGCTGTTCGAGTGGCCGACACAGGGTTTCTGACCCGAGAAAGACTGAGGCGTGGAGAGATGGTGGAAAAAAACAAAAAACTGACCAAACCACCGCCTTTGTTTACACGTGTTCAACAGAGAGTGACAGTTTTTGAACGTGTTTAGAGAACGAGGGGTAAACGCAGAAAATGATGACGATATTCTCTGTAATGTTTTAGATCGTCTTCCGAAAGATCAGCGACGTGAAGCGAGAGGAGGAGGAGCGGCAGAGGCGTAAAAACGAAGCCCCGCTCAACCTGCCGCCGGACCACCCGGTACGAAAACTCTTCCAGCGTTTCCGGCAGCAGAAGGAGGCGAAGATGGGGTCGGAGAAACCGCAGCTGGACGAGCACGATATCGAGAAGGGGCCCATGTACGTGGAAATCCCGATGGCTAAAACCGCCATCACCGCCACCAGCATGGTCACAGTGACCGAAAGTCCGGCGACGCCGTCGCCTTCGACGCCCACGTCGTCATCGCCGCTACAGTCGACGGCGACAGACAAGGCCAAGCTGCAGGTGCCGACGCAGGGGTGTTTGGTAGGATGTCGCTCCGCAGAACCGGTCAAAGCCAAAGGCTGGGGTCGATTCAAGGAGTCCATGGTCAAAGCTGACAACTGGAACAAAGTGTCGAAAGCCGAGTCCATGGAAGTTCTACCGGAACGGACCAAGGCCCACGAGTCACAGACGTGTCTGAAAAAGACGGACTCCTGCGACAGCGGCATCACCAAAAGTGACCTGCGTCTGGACAAAGTGGGAGAGTTCCGCACGACCCCTCAGGACCGCAGCCCGGTCCAGCCTGCGGAGACCAGGCATCCCTTCTACCCCATCCCTGAACAGACCCTTCAGGCCTCGCTGCAGGAGCTGAAGCTGGAGCTGAAGGACGACATCAAGAACCTGAACGCTCGGATGTCCGTCCTGGAGGCGCAGCTAACGGAGGCGCTGCAGCTCCTCAAGACCAGGCACCGGAGTGCTGGTTCTCCTCAGCACCTCTTTGACATTTCTAGACCTGCTTCGCCAGAGCAAGACAAAGAAGACATCTTCTCTTGAAGAATGCAGGAGTCAGCAGAGGCTTCAGTTCAGTCTCCGAACTCAGCCGGAATCCTGTGATCCCAGATTACACGGATGGCTGAGGCTGCGGCGTTTAGATTAGGGCAGCGGCGTGGTCCGATCTTAAGACGCCACGATCCATTGCCCGTAGAGTCTCGTACCTGTTGGTAGTGCAGGCAGACGTCCTGTCGGTCAGTCCAGGTAAGAGTCCAGCTTCGGTGGTGGTGGAGGTTCAGGACGGACAGCACTATGTTTGTACATACGTTTGATTGACTTTTTTCTCACCGCTGCGCCGCCGTGAAGGAACGTAGCTGTAGAGTTTGAAACGTCTTCAGGTTTTGCGTCTCCGTAGTCGACCCAGTAGAAACGGCATGGGATTCCTCTGCATGTCACATGAACATGGACGTGTGCCTCAAACTGCAGATGGCGCCAATCGTATTAATTAATTGAGGCCAGGCTTCCACTTCCACTCATTGTTTTCACAGCGACGAGGATTTTTTCTTTTCTTTTTTTTCTTCAAGTTACTCCAACAGTTTCTGAGTCATTCCCTCCACAGATTAATGAATTTTCTTATTGAATTATCTGCCGGGAACATCGTGAATTATACAACACATCACTCCGGCCTCAGAAATCTAATTTCTCGCAGACATCTTTCGGCAGTGCTCATTATTCCCATCAACCATTGATGGATTCGCTCCATGAAAAATGGAATGCAGTTCAAACTGTAACGTCAGTCACTCAGTCCAAGCTCTTCTCCCGTTTAAGAACCAAATCTCCAGCTACAGTCGAACCGATGCGTTTCAGCCGCGGTGCCGCAGGTCTGGACGCCGTCGCCGTCGTAGAACTGAACCCTGGTTTTACATCGTGGTTTTTGATAATGGACACCAGTCAGGTGTCAGCAGAGGGAGTGAGGGACACATTAACACACCGGTCCACTCGCATGTCGTCTCTCAAACTCCAAGGCTACGGTTAGTTTTTATGGAACTGCATGAACCTGTCCATACATTTACTACACCTATTGCCACCTCTGTGTGGCGCTGTGGCACCGTAACTGCTGTACAACATAAACACATAGTTGTCTTTGGCAAACTTTACTACACAGTTGGTGTGTAGTGCCACCCAGTGGTAAAAAGTGCCCCCGCGGCCCCATCTAGTTAGCTAGATTTTCTCGAGTGGTGAATCTCAAAAAATACACGAATGCACATATTCATGCATGTGTTCGACAATTACTAATAATAACTATTAGGTATGTAATGATGCGTCGTGATTTGATTAAAAATTGATACAATTTTACTCAATTAGCATTTTGCAATTAGCAATTTAACATAAAGAGCGAATCGCACATCAATGTGTGGGCTGTGTTATCTCAAAAAGTCACTGGTCATACCATGAGACTACACACTCTCGTACAGTAGGGGGCAGTATTGATTGTGCCCCGCTATAAAACTCCCTCTCTTATTATATTATAACTATAACAGAATTATCTTTTTCTCTCGACTCTCCACCAGACGTCAGGCTCAGATTTAAACTTTGAACTTCGTCCTAGCCTTTTATTCCCCAATCACCAAAAATAGAGCAGTTCTAAATCAACCGTGTGTTAGTAAAGCAAATAATTTCCTTTAACTTCAGACGTAGATAAAAGCCGGAGCCTCGTCTTCTCCTCCAGAGGACAGGAACCAATAACTGCTGCGCTCTGTTCTCGTTCTTCATCTGGATTATTTATGTTTCCTTCATGCCTGCGTTCTTATCAGGACAAAAGATGAGGCGAGACGAAAAGACTCTGGGAATGTTTTTTTTTTCTCTCTCCACCAACACATTTCACTTTTCCCCGTTTTCATCAAAAATTCAGCCGGCTAAAAATAAATGGGCAGCGCTTCACAGACGTGAGAACACGGTTGGGTCACAGTCAGCCTCTGTGGCTCCGTATGGGTTTTTTCTTTGGTTTTTTTTTACCCAGATCTTAGAGAGCACTAAAGCCCTGGTGCTGCGACCCCTCTGTCAGAGAGAGTGTATAAAGAGGCAGCTCTCACAGGCTCCGACATCAGAGGACGGGGATGAGTGTGGACGGGCGCTGACACGAGACTTCAGTCTCAAGAAAAAATCCATTTCTAAAAAAAAAGTTCAATGACAGAAGGTTTTTTTTTCCCTCTAAGAAATCCGAGCCAGAAATTAAAATTCCTAAATGTGGAACGTCCTCTAAATCAAAAGTAATCCTGGTTGAGTCATATATAAATATATATTTTTATTTATGTCGTTCAAATGAGCTGAAAAAAACAACCCAGTCGAGCTGCTGCCAGCAGTGATGTCGCTGTTGTGTTGAATGCTCATCTATAATACTTCCTGCCACCACTATGTGGCACTGTGACAAAACTACTACACATATAACTAACACATATTTCCATTTTTAATTTGCTTTATTTAAATTCTAATTTTTCATTTTTTTTACATTCTGAATCAAAATTGCCTCTGTAGCTCTAATTTCTTACTGCCAGGAGGTGGCGCTATCACCGTAATTCACTAATCTTGAAAAGTCTTAGATCTTAAGTCGGCCTCTAATTTAAAATTGATCTCACAAAAGTAAATAAACTGTAAAAAAAAAAAAAAAATCCCCAGCACCGCACGACTCATGTAGCAGTTTGTCATTTGTTTTTTTTGATTTTTGCTTTTTAGACTAGTTGTAAATCTTGTAATGACTCTTGACATGAACTCACTGTAGACATTTTTACGCCACATTTAGTGCGAGTAAAGATTGTAGACAAACACTGCATGTACTGCACATGTAAATGTACTGAAGTGAATGTGAAAATGCTGACGTTGATCTCAGGACCTTCATTTGTCAGAGCTCAGTCTTAAATGATCTCAAATAAATTGATATTTTTAGCCTGAACTAGCGTTGGAGTTTAACGAAGGAGTTTTTATGACAGAACTTAAGATAAACGGCAATACTGTACGTTAGAATGGAGTGGCGGAAAAATACATGAAGGTGGCGCAGCGCTTGTGAGAGTCAGATCTCGGTGACGTTTGTGTGTGGTCTGAGTGACGGATGGGTACAGGATGTGAATCACGCTGTTTGCAGACGACGCTGTAATCTATGCTAATACTGTAGTAGGGAGTGGTCAGAAGAGGGAGTAGAACGGTGGAATGAAGAAGGCGTAGGTGAAGATGAAGCTGGAAATGTTTAATATGGAGGGATGATGAAAGTGGACGTAGAAGAAGATTAGCGGTCATTATAGTAAACGACCTGATGATCGTTGATGGATGAAGGGTGAAGGCCAATCAGAGCCTCGATGGAGAACCTTGATGAATGCAGCAGACGGAGAAACATCGGTGATCGTTGATGGATGAAGGGTGAAGGCCAATCAGAGCCTCGATGGAGAACCTTGATGAATGCAGCAGACGAAGAAACATCGCAAACATTTGTTTGTGGAAAACCACGTTAACCAGAGTTTGTCATTGGTCAGTCTATCATTGGTCAGTCTATCATTGGTCAGTCTATCATTGGTCAGTCTATCATTGGTCAGTCTCGGTCGTAGAAGTTGGTTTATTCTGACGGTCCAAGTCAAACCGTGACGCGGAGCTGAAGGTCATTTCTTTGGAACATTTTCACTTTACCCTCGACGCCGTTTCACTTGTCGACACTGATGAATGACAGAAACGCTGACACTGATCCTTCCGTACGTGTGTGTGTGTGTGTGTTATGTAACTTGCGTTCAGTCGTCTGTGTCCGTTGCTATGCCTTCCAGGGTTTATTTTATTTTAAAAAAATAATAAAAATACTATTTTTCTCAGTACAGCAGGAACAGAAGCAGGTCAGAGTATTTTTGCATAATAAATGTTATTAGAAATCACATTTTTTTGTAAAAAAAAATATATCAACAAATATAAATACTGCTTTCTATTTTCCATGATGTCACAGGGCGCACACACACACACACACACACACACACACATTTAACGTCCTGCTTTTTTACCCGCACCATAAATGCAGCACACGCGACAGTCTGCGCTGGATTTAAGTCACAAACGTCCTCCTCAAAAGCAATATGTGGAAAGTGCTGGAACGTTTCTAAACAAAGGTCCCAGCGGTGATAAAAAAAAAAAAAAATCTACTTTTACTGAGCTGCACTTTGACTCCATTTATATTATTACAGTCATTAACTTTGATTGTTCCTGAGAAGCATGCACTGTGCCTTTATAATAAGCCCACACTTTTCACAAACACGGTGTTTTTTTTTTTTATGTATAAACAGGTCAGCGGTTAAAACTGAAGGATTTGCAGAACTTTTCTCAGCGTTTTCTTCGCTCTGAACTTAATCCAGTCAGGATGAAAGTGTGGCGTAGTCCATGAACACATCTCTGTTCATTTTTTGTAGTTTGTAGACTTCGGTTTGGCCGACGTTTTTAATTTGTAGCGACTAAAGTTCAAGTGGTGGTAAAATATCTCACGGCTTATTTGACCTTTTTCTGGCCTTTTTCATTTTCTGATTTTACGTGATTATAAATTTAAAAGAAAAACCTTCCATAACAAGTCAAGGTGAATGTAGTGTCGCTTCACGATTTTCATCTGAGGTGTACAACGCCCCCTACTTGTGGTTTAGAAATCTTAGAATCTTAGAAACATTTTTAGATCCAGTTTCCTGTCACAGTCAGAACCAGGTCATGTGTTCACTCTAAATGACCTTAGGTGTGAATGTGAGTGTGAATGGTTGGTTGTCTCTCCTGAAAGATGGACTTGTGAATTCATGTCCAAATGTGAGCGTTAATAACATTTAAGGAGCTACTGATTGGATGTGGACTCGCTCCGATTATTGATTATTGATTATTGATTATTGATTAGCCCCTGAATCCTCCTGACTGAGTTTTGTTGATCAACACAGCTGGTTTTTCACACCGTGGTTGACTGTATATGTGATGCGTTCACTGTCTGCGGGTGAAAAGGTTCACGTCCAGGTGATTGTAAAATGGCGCTACGCTAACAGACTCTACTGTAAATGCACTGATGATGTCACAGTGTTTAAGTGTCTGAAGTTCGGCCGTGGTTTCCCACGACATGCACGGCTCCGTGTTCACGTCTCGCTGCCAGTAGCAGCTGAAGCACAACGGGAACTGTTTTTGTGCTTAACTGTGACAAACTGTGCTTTTCAAAATAAAACGATGATTAAATAAATCTGTAATAACGTGTCGTCTGTTCCACCTGTAGTTTGTGAAGTAACGCTACGTTTAAATTTAATTCAGCATAAAATGTCCCAGGTTTGTCATTTTTGTTGGACCCTGAGCTCATAAACTACGGTTTATTTGTCTTTGTTGCTTTAGTTTCTAATTTCTAATTTAATTTTCTTTTAATATTTTTGCTTCAGCTCCATCTGTGATTTATGACTCATGATGATTCTTGTTCAGTTTTGCTTTGATTCCTGTCATTTCTTTTGCCCTACCTTCCCAGTGTTTACGTTGTCGTCATTGTTTTGACATCACGTGTGTTTTTTTTTTAATTTGGCTTCAAGTTTGTACCTCATGTTTGTGTCTGTGGTTTTATTTTCGGTGTCGGTCGTGTTTTCGTATTTCTTCATGTCTGTGTTTGTTGATATCGTTTTGTCCCTTTGTTTATAATCGGTGTCTGTTTCTTGGCTCCTCGTTTGTTTTTCATTTTTCTAAATTTGTCATTAAGCTTTCACTGAGGAGCAGTGGTGGTTAATGAAGCGGACCTGTGTCCAGAAGGTTCCAGGTTCAAGTCCACCAGCTGCCAAGTTACCACTGAGCATGGCACCGTCCCCAACACTCTGCTCCCCGGGCGCTTACGCTGCCCCCTGCTGACTTTGGTGATGGGTAAAAAATGCAGAGGTCACATTTGTTTGGTGTGCAGTGGTGTGATGACCTTGAACTGGAACTGTAAAAACTGTATGTTTATACGATTGTTCATCCATCCTGCAGTAACCGACGACGTCTGTTTATTTACAGACATGTCAAAACCAACATCATTAAGGAGCAGAAACACGTGGTTGTGGTTTCACTGAAACGTGAACCTGACGACTGTTGTTGTTGTTGTTGTGCACTGACAGGATTCCTCTGAGAAAGTGTTTGTCAGCAGGTGTGTCCTGCTGCTGATCCGGGATCAGTGGAACCTCAGTTTGGGTTGATATAAGAGGATTCCTCTTCTCTGAGTCCGACTCGCACTGATCCGTCTTAGAGGCTGGAGGTGATAATCCCGAGGACAGAAATCAGCTAATTGGACCAGATTAACGAGGTGCTCTCATTATTTACAGACTGCCTTTTTTTTTAATACTTTTATTTTGAAGGTGAGGTGCAACTCATGTGGATCAAACAAACTTAGTTGGAACGCTTTACAAAATCTCAACAAAGGATTTCATCATCATCTTCGTCATCGTCAGCAGCTCCGACTCTGAATTCACCCCAGCCTGGATTCGTGTTTTTATTTTTTTTTTTTTTTGGGTTGCCGTTCCCCCAGGCTGTGTGCTTAACTCGTTGTGCAGCGTGAATGTTATGAATAGTAAGAAGACGGAGCTGTTTCTGCAACATCACGTTCTCCAAAGAGACGCAGGCCATTAAAAACAGATTCCCATTAATCCTCAGGATCTACTGCACTGAAAAGAACACATTTTTATTCATGGTCCGTCTGAGAGGGGAAGGTTAATGTGGCCGTTTGGTGGAAAGCGTTAAAAGCTTTTCCTCACATTAAAATATAACCTCGTTCTATAAATATTCAATGTTTCACACCGAGCGTCTGCTCAGGTCATCTGAAATGGGTTTGTTTTAATCTGTGTTCACCGTCAGCTCGGTCCTAACTGTACAGAAAAGTTTATTTTTTTCTGTGATGGAAATGGAAAAAAATGGTCAATAAAAATATGCAAAGAAGTATCTGACCCAGCAGAGGTCAGATACGTCCATCCTGCAGACATCTTCACTGAGCGGCTCCACAGTCAGGACAGGACTCGGTCTCTGCTCCGTGGCCGCGGGCCAGACTCTCCGCGGTGGTCAGAGCCGGTCTTTGGTCCGAGCAGGTGGTTCTGGGTTTTTCCTGCTCCGTGCAGATTCTCGCTTGAGTGTCAAAGTCAAGGTGATTCAAGCAGGGTGTGAAGTCCACTCCAGTCCAATCTGAGCAAAGCAGTAGAGGAAGGCCAGCATAGGGGGCGCCACCGTGGACCAGCCTGAAAGACGTCGACATAAGAAAGACATGTTGGAAAAATGATTTCAATAGGTAAGTGTTTTTTTTTTTAAATATTAGTAATGGTATCAGGTACAGTCTCCTGACCTTCTGAAAAATTATTTTTCTTTCATATAAACAATGTTAGTAGAGAAAATACAAAATATAATAAATAGCTAAAAAAATAATGTTTTTAAAATTGAAAATGGGTCGAAAAAAGACTCGTTACAAACAGTGTGTCTGTGTTCTGGTCATTTTTCTTCCCTGTATTGAAATTTTTTCCCCCTTTTCTATTTATAGCTGCGGCTGCTTCGAGGGTCGATCACACAGGTAAGGACGACTGAGCACCTCCTCCTCCTCCTCCTCCTCCTCCTCTTCCTCCTCCTGCTGCTGCTGCTGCTCCTCCAGATTATCTCAGTAACCTGCACCTGCACCCTCAATGCCTTTCAATGCTCCATTCTTTTCTATTCATGTCAAAATGGAATCCACACACACACACTCACACACACACGAGCTACTTAATGCACAGCTGTACCGTCACATTTCTGCTGCTCGTGGGAAAGGTTGATGAACCAGCTGAGGTGAACCCTGTCCTACTGTCAGACATTTTATAACAGCAGAATATAATATATAAATATATATAAATATTATGATTCACTTGTAACGTAATGTATTTTTTGCATTCACACGATTCTCTCTGAAAACAGTCAAATGTTCGTGTCTGGTTTCTGTCGGCAACAGGACGATGCTTTGCCACATCGTTGCATCAGCAGCGTAGACAGCGTTGTTGCCGCATCAGAAAAAAATATTTTCAGGGTTAGAAAACTAAAAGTGAAAAAGCACCAGTTAAATAGTGTCTGTGTGTGTGTATGTTTGTGTGAACTGATGAACACAAGTGAAAAAGCACCAGTTAAATAGTGTGTGTGTGTTTGTGTGAACCGATGAACAGACTCCAGCCAACAGCGTGCTGCTTTGGTACCGTTTTAAAAGTTCTGATCCTCCTACTGTCAAACAAATGTCCTGATGTCGGTCACAATCAGGAAGTGAAAAAAATGCAGCAGCCAATCAGGTTTGACTTCATTTCATTTAAATCTGTTATATTGTTCTGACTTTCTTATTTCCTCAGAGAAAAACCCCAGAGGTCACTGTCTGCACCGTCGTCAACTGGAGCCGAGACGTCCCCGTGTTCCACCCTGAACCCCAGAGGTCACTGTCTGCACCGTCAGCCGGTCGTCAACTGGAGCCGAGCAGGTAAGAACGTTTCATTAGCGCCCCAATAGGACGTACAGTCAAACTGGTCGTCAAAGTTTGGATGTTTGTAACTATGAACTGACAGAGAATTTGAAAAAAAAAAAAAAAAAGAACGAGTCAATATAAGAAAATTGGTTGGATGAGATGCTTCAAGATCAACTGAGTAAAAAAGAAAAAAAAAGAAACATCTCAGCGTCTTGACTTTTTAGTGATCTCTAATAAAAGACACCTCCAGATTTGGGGACATTTTGACTTATCAATGAAATGATGCGATGATGAATGTAAGTCTGAATCTGTTTTTGTATTTTCAGTCAGGTCAGGGAGCAATTACTCTGCTCTCTGAGGTGGAGGCAGCGGCTCAGACAGGCTGATTTAAAAACCATTGATTTTATGCAAATTGAATAAAAAAATAGAAAAAACCTACTTCTCACAGCTCTTTTGTGCAGACAGAAGAGATTTGCTTTAAAAATCAGAGTCAGATCAATGTCATCTAAATTTGAAGTAGTCTAAAAAAGAGATGCCAGCTTTAAAGATGTAACTTTTTTGCTTTAAATAGATAATTACATTTTTTTCTATAGAATAAGATTAATCAAATCAGCAAATTAATCCTCACAGCCTTTTCTCACAACTGACTTATTTTTAGGCCTGCCTTCCGTGTCGAATATTGAATAAGTGTGAACGGGTTCAGGGGTTCAGGAGTTCAGCGTGATGATAATGTGATGCACCATTAGCTGCGACTGTTCCAGGCTCCTAACAAATGATCGGTGTCACAGTCATTTTTAACCACTGACTGGAAAATTCATTTTAATCAGGCAGATTAGGCCCCACTTTGTCACATAATCCAAGAACAGAGCCTCTGCTGGAAGAACAAATGCGCAGGGAGACGGCAGAGTATTGATTCCCAACCAGTGGCACCTCACTGGTGTCAGAGGTCATCGGGAAAGGTCAAGGAAAATGATCCAATTTCACTTAATTGGTCTGGAGGGGGCAGCAGATAGGCTATAAACACTATATATATGAAAAGAGAGAGAGAGAAAGAGAGAGAGAGAGAGAGACTCAGAGCTGTACAGTAGACCCACGTGCGTCTTTCTTCAATTCCTGTGAGTACGTCAGCCTGGTGTTCAACTAAACACGCGCAGGTTTCACACTGAGTAGGAGTAAAGTGAAACTAGAAGATCATTATAGTTCACTACATTACTATTTGTGACATTTTGGTCTGGTGGTGCATCATGGGATTTGCAAATGTGAAATGTACAATGGCTCATTTTAATGTTAGTTGTTTTGTCATTTTTACTCTCGTAAATCTTAGAGATTACAACTAAAATATAAAGCTAAAGTAAAAGCTAAGCTAAATAAGTTAATGTTGATTGATTATTCTTCTACTTTTCACTAGATGGCAGCTGATCCCCAAATCTGGACCTTAAAAGAAATGTGGTACAACCCTGGAGTGAAACATAAAGGTAGGACATTTTTACTCTCTAATTTTAGTCTCCCCCCAAAAAAATAATTCTCCCAGTCGGGCTGAAGATGAATTAGCTCTGCTTTAAATATGAGTAAACTGTGCATTATGTATGAGCATGAATTAGCAGCTCCCTTTAATAAATAATACGGTAATGTATCACGGGGAGCTGAGCTCACGGCACCGACTGTACCCACACTGGCTGCAGGGACGGCTGTTCAGACGACCTGTCATGTGACGACGGGCCAGAGGAACGACTGCCATCGTAGTCTGGCTGCGAAATGATCCAAAAAAAGAAACGGGAACAAAACCTGGCTCAGAAACAATCGAGATGTAATTCTGTCTTTGTGGAAGAGAAAGAGAGAGAGAGAGAGAGAGAGAGAGAGAGTTTTCATGCAAATGCAGTGAAGTCACTGCGCCTGCAGGGTTTTTTTTCTTCTGTTTTTTTCTTATTATTTTGTTAGAACAATAACAAACGTCTCACATACAGAGACAGTCTGTGTGACATGGATCCAACCTTCCCAACTGTCAGAGACCCCCCCCATATGAAAAGTTTGTAAATTTAAATGTTTTGGCTAAAACACTAATGCCCCACAGATAAAAAAGAAAAGACACACCGGAACAATCCTGCAGAAATAAACCCACAAACTCCTGCTGGTTAGTGAGTGTTTTGGGGATAACTTACCTTGAATAAATACACGCTTCCAGAAGATTCTACCCACATGTATCCCCCCAAGGAAGACTAGATTAGAGAGGATGAGCATGGCAGTGGAGAAGGCACACAGGAAGGCGACGGCACGCCTTTTCATGGCTGCAGAGAAATGTCGCTCCTGGGAAATCAGTTAATCAGAGGTAAATCTCAGGGAGATCCGCGCAGAGGTTTTTATTCTTGTAAATCAGAGAACAAAAGGAAACGCTGAGGCACCTGACACGTCCAACCAGGGCCAACATCAACCAGAATGATTACAGATTTATAAAACGTGAAACTTCTCCCCCGGCTACAGACCCAGAAAAGCCAGATTGGAGCAAAACAGGCCTTTAATTAACATTAACGTGGTGAAAGAGATGATTAGATCTGAGGCTCCAGATCAGTTCTGGTCTCAGAAGATCTGGACCATCTGGAACTGTGAGCGTCTCAGCTCAACACTCTTTATCAAGAACCAATCAGCTGATGTCAATATTTGGGTCAAGTTTTTAACTTGAAAAGAACCAATCAGCTGATGTCAATATTTGGATCAAAAAAAGTTGTTAACATTAAACAGCTGTGATCTATAATAGTTCCCCAAACTCTGATTTGTTGGAGCAGCCAAATTTCCTCTTCTTCAGAAAATTAAATGTTAGTCAAAACTGTGGCTAAAATGTAGCCGACATGTAGCTTTGAAAATGTTTGAGAAATAACCATCAGTCTGAACGGTAAAGTTACAGAACAGAAGAAATTAATTAGTCAAAAAGGGGAAGCTAATTGTTAGCTAAACGAGCAAAGCAAAAAATTTGGCAAAAATATTACGGCACTGTCAAAAGATTAACTGATCTAATTAATCATAGGGTGAATTAAACAGGATTAGTCATGATTAATAATGACTGTAATCAATCACAGTTGGCAATGATTAATGGACATAAATCAAGTTACACAAAAATGTCAATTTTGTTTTTTCCTGTATATTTTATACTGGATCAGAAAGACAAACAACAGCAGGTGAATGTATTGGTTTCACACCTGTTTATATTTGTGACTCGTCCAAATGAAATATTAAAATGAAAAAAAAAAAATCAAGAAAAATATACAAAAGTGTAACCCAAAAACTAGCTTCAAATAATTATGCAATAGTCAAAGGTTTTCTCAGAAAAAGTTAAATAATAGTTAATAATAAAATTGACTGAATTGTTTCCTTGGCAACACATCACTGGACAAATACGCTCTACTTTTAAACCAAGTTCAAGTAAAAAAGTTCAAACTTACGACAAAATACTGAACGACAGAAGAAGTCAACAGCGACCTCAGTCCGTTTTCCACCAGCACTCCGACCCAGTTCATCACGGCCCAGTACTGGAGGTAGTCACTGCCGCCGTGCCAGAAGCAGACGAATCCGAAGGCCAGGCCGGTGGACAATATCTTATAAAGAGGGCCGTGACGTGACCCTCCGAGGGGCACGTAGATGTATCTGAAACATTAGTGCAAGAAGACACAGTAAAGATGGAGGACTTTAATGGAGCCAGCACGTTATTGGATTATAATTCATCCATGGAAGCAGTGGGAGAGACAGACAGGCACGCTGCAGTGATGTCATTACATCTCCTCACTGAAGACGAGGGTCAGAAATTAGTAGAAGCTCAGGGAAAAATGCCCTTGAAATATATTAATAACTGCCTTTACCACTGACATGACGGTCTTCAAATACCCCCCGTCCCAATAAAATAGAAAACAAACATAGTTTGATTTAGTTTGAGCCCAACCTACCGGGCTGTGACTCACTACACCACACGGAGCACAAGATTTAACAAGTGTTTGAAGACGACGAAAGAATGAGAAAACACAAAATAAAGTCAAACAAGGTTAAAAACCAAATAACTTATTTTAAACTGATTAAAATTTCATACACTTTTTTATTACAAAATTAGCTGGCTTACTCTAATCAATAAAATTAAAAGTATAAAAAAGTTTTAAAAAAATAAGCCTTTTAAATAATTATAAAATATATAACTAAAGGTCAACATTTATTGGCTTTTTTTTATAAAACTGCAAACGAGCACAGAACAGAACAGAAAAAAAGTTCTTCAACATGGCCATCATTTGCATGTGTTGAAAACAAAATGTGACTAAAAAAAAAACTATTTAAAAGTTTAGCCTAAAAAAGTTAACCAATTTTCCTGAACCTGATGATGAAAAAACAAAAGAGAATTTTAAAACAACAGCCTTGTGATGATGTCACAGAAATGGTGAGGTAATATTCACTGATCTTAGTCCAAAAATATTTTCCTGACATTCATACAGGTGAAATTCCCATGTTAAAAAACGAGTCAAAAACTGTTGTTTCAAGTTTTTTACTTTTGCCCAAAGCCTAAAAAAGAAAAAGAAATATTCACTAATTTGAAAATGTTATGTTTTTTTTCTGACTGTTTAAGGATTAAAAAATTCCGCAAAGAAAAATCAGCCCACGGCTCCGACATGTAGACCACTGTAATAACGAGGCAGCAGCTGTGCACACCGATGTGAACAGTAAAAATCCAATCAGTAACAGAATGTGTCTCATCCTGTGAAGACAAATACTCTCAGCTATTATGATACTGTAGGAACGCCGTCTTTCCCGGAGGTAATGACAGGCTGCATGTTTCCAACAGCAGTGCAACAACAATATCGCCATCTTCCCCTTGTTGCTGAACTAGGAACTAATTATCTCAGTCACCCTGAAGCCAATCAATGTCCTCTAATAAAAAAGATGAGGCAGCAGTTTGCGATCGTCCGGCTCGGCCACATCAGTGGATGAAAGTAGAGATGGAGCAGCAGCAGATGGAGGTGTTGTGGTGTTAATGAATATGTAGACGTGCAGAGCTGCCCACCATCTGTGGGCAACATTTAGATTCCAAACACATGTTCATCAAAGTGTGATCATCTTCAGATATGGACTAATTCCAGAATGTGTAGCCTTTAAAGTAGGAAAAAAAAGAAACAAATATCTACATATGTATGTATGTCTAGATAAACATTTTCTCTAATAAAAAAAGAAACAAATATCTACATATGTTTGGTCTAGATAAACATTTTCTCTAACTTTTTGGGTGATATTTTAGCTTGAAATTAGCATTTAGCTTTTAGATGATTTTTGCTAATTTTTTTCTGTCAGCTACATTTTGATTAGTAACTGTTGATTAATCCTCTGGCTAATTTTGACTTAACTTTCAATAAATTCTTATACATTTTTATATTTTTTAATTTTCTTTTTTATTCATGTTGCATTTCCTTTGACAAAGTTAACATTTTTGTAGTTATATTTGCTTGACTTTCAGCCAAACTTTCATTATTACTTATATTTGTGATAACTTTAGTGTACATATATTTTAGCTATTTTTAGCTTTAGCATTCTGAGGCTAACATTCTGCCAACCTTCTATTACATTCCGATTATCATTGACTTTTTTCTATTGGACTTTGGCGGCTACATTTTAGCCACTGAGAACGTTGAGTTGGATGTGGAGTTGCCTTCAAAGACAGCGCAGAATTTCCTGGCCCACTTCCAGGGCTTCACTCCAGAACCATAGTTTAAATATCTCTGTCTATTCCTTATGTTCTGCCTGTGGGACTGATTCATGGTCCTGTTGCTCGTGGAATCGATTTATTGATCCCGGTTGATGGATTGTTGTCCAGTATATGTTTACATACATTTAACAGTTAGAACTAAAAGTGAGTGCTGACGGTGCTCGTCCTCAACCTCAAACACGGCCTCACTTAGTCACAGCGTTAACTCATCTGCTGCTCTAATGATTCCCAAACAACAATAACTCTGTGTGTGTGACAGAGAAAAGCCAAGAACTTGATAGTCACCACGGACGTGATGGAGGTGGAGATGATGGTGTGAAAGGCAGTGGGTTGGTGTAATGGAATGGTGAAGAAGGAGCCACTTTGCTGCCCCGGGGAGAGACGGCAGAGTCGGTGAGTCACATCATTTAACACCTACGCTCTCATCTAGACCCTCTTCAGACAATTCCTGCAGAATTTCACAACTGCATTAAAACCCTCTTAAGAAGCACTTTGTCGAGGAGGAGAAAGACAGAGGCCGTTGTGTCACTGCTATCATTTAGCATCAACAGAGGCAAATGGCAAGTGATGCCATTTAGGAGGAGAAAACATTTGCATTTCCAACCACCTTATGCAAATGATCAAGACCAGGAAGAATGGTCTGGATTTATTCTGGAATGTACCGACTAAATACTGGTCAAACTACGGCAAAAGAATTTGCTCATATTTTTTTTTGCAATATTCTAATGAAGTGCACAGTATTCTGGTTAACATTGCTGTCATTTTATATGCAATTCTTTATTTAATGGTTGGTTATATGGTTTATGTTGTGATAAATATGTTTGCAATATTCAAATTTCTCTGGCACATTCGTGGTGTCACTAATTACTTTTTTTGATGACTCTT